TTACGGCAAGTCAAATGATTCCCTCCTGCTGGCTGGCCGCTGCATCTCCTGCTCGAATATCTGCCGTAGCGTCGCTTTGCAGCAGTCTCGCCAGAGAGAAAGCGGCGTTTCAGGTGGGCGAGAGGAGGAGGAGAGGAGGAGCAGGGGGGAGGAGAGGGAGAGGTGGGAAGGGGAGAGGGCTGGAGACGGGAGAGGGGGAGAGGGGGAGGAAGCGAGGAGAGGAGGAGAGAGAGGGAGAGCGGGGTGGAATGCATGTGAAGCTTGTGTACACAACGCCCTGCGCGCCGCAACACACACACGCGCACTCTCACGCACGCACGCACACACACACGCACTCTCACGCACGCACGCCACAACACACACGCACTCTGCACGCACGCACGCAACACACACGCCGCCACTCTCACGTCCACGCACGGCACACACACACGCACTCTCACGCACGCACGCCACGCCACGCCACACGCACGTACACACACTACCACGCACTCTCACCGCACGCACGCCACCACACACACACACACGCACTGCTCACGCACGCACGCACACACACACGCACTCTCAGCACGCACGGCACACACACACGCACTCTACACTGCACACACACACACACGCAAACGCGCGCCACACCACACGCACACACACACACAACACACGCACACACGCACACGCACACACACACACACGCGCACTCTCACGCACGCATCGGCACACACACACGCACTCTCACGCACACAACACACACATCACACGCAAACGCGCGCACACACACACGCACACAGCACACAGCACACACACGCACCACACGCAACACCACACACGCACACACACATGCACTCCACGCGACGCACGCACGCACACACGCAACTCTCACGCACGCACGCACACACACACGCACTCTCACGCACGCACACCACACACGCACTCTCACGCACGCACGCACACCAACTACGCCACTCATCACGCACGCACGCACACACACACACGCACTCTCACGCACGCAGCAGCTTATCGACTTTATTAACATTACAGGTTTCAAACTTTTTGCGTCGATATATATGTATATAAAGTTATAAACTAAGGCAAAAGTGTGATAATATAATAATAATATGATATAAGTAATATATATATATATATATATAATTTAATATAATACTACACATCTACGACTACACATATATAACTGCACATCAGCGTACACGGCGGCGCCGAGTTCTGCTGCCTGGCCGGGGATGAACGCTGACAGCGTTATAGCCTTGGTCTCATCCACCACCTGTCGCTTCAATCTCCTGCTCCCTCTCCTCGTCGACCCTTCCCCACACTCCACCTCCACGCCGCTGGAGCAGGAATATAAGAAGAAACGCTTAGAAACACGGTAGAAACACAGTAGCAAAATCGAAACAAAATAGGGGGTGCGTTGTCAGAAATAAAGTCTTAACATTAGTCACCAAATTTAACACAGGCCACTTGTAACTCACTCAAACTCACCTGCAACTCACGCAATCCCATGTATAACTTAAACCCACCTGCTACTCACTCGCACTCACCTGTAATCGCACCCAACCTCACCTGCTACTCACTCGCACTCACCTGTAATCGCACCCAACCTTCACCTGCTACTCGACTCGCATACCTTGATAATCGCCACCCAAACCTCACCTGCTACCTCACTCGCACTCACCTGTAATCGCACCCCCAACCTCACCTGCTACTCACTCGCACTCCATCTATAATCGCCACCCACCTTACCTGTATCGCACCCAACCTCACCTGTAATCGCACCCAACCTCACCTGTAATCGCACCCAACCTCACCTGTAATCGCACCCAACCTCACCTGTAATCGCACCCACCTGTAATCGCACCCAACCTCACCTGTAATCGCACCCAACCTCACCTGTAATCGCACCCACCTGTAATCGCACCCAACCTCACCTGTAATCGCACCCACCTGTAATCACCCACTACAAACCTTCACCTGCTAATCGCCCAACCTCACCTGTAATCGCACCCCACCTTCACCTTATAATCACACCCACCTGTATCGCACCCAACCTCACCCTGTAATCGCACCCAACCTCACCTGTAATCGCCACCCAACCTCACGCTGTATCGGCAACCCAACCTCACCTGCTAGTCGCACCCAACCCTCACTGTAATCGCACCCACCTGTAATCGCACAGCTCTACCCTCGGCTCGTCCATGTACGGCAGACAGTTGGGGAACTGATCCGGACCTTCGTAGAGCGCGCACACGTGCAGCGTGTACGTGACGCTGTTGATGACAGCGATGAATTCACACTTCAGCTCTTCCTTCTTCGCATCCGTACACTCCGTGTCGTAGCCGAGCGCAGCCTCCAGCTCCGGCGGCACGGCGACCTTAGCTGCAGCGAGGAGACACACAGAGAGAGAGAGCGAGACTGTGAGCGAGAGATTTTCGCGGCGGCATCGGCAGAAATATGAGGCTGTGAGCTTTGGCAGGAATTTGAAGCTGTGGGGCTTCAGTAGAAATGTGAAGCTGTGGGCTTCAGTAGAAATGTGAAGCTTGTGGGCTTCAGTAGGAATTTGAAGCTTGTGGCGCTTCCACAGTAGAAATGTGAAGCTGTGGGCTTCAGTAGAAATGTGAAGCTGTGGGCTTCAGTAGAAATGTGAAGCTGTGGGCTTCAGTAGAAATGTGAAGCTGTGGCGACTTCAGTATAGAAATGTCAAGATTGGGCTTCAGTAGAAATGTTGAACAGCTGGTGGCTTCAGGTAGAAATGTGAAGCTTAGTGGGCTTCAGTAGGAAATTGTGAAGGCTGTGGGGACTTCAGTAGAAATGGTGCAAGATGTGGGGCTTCAGTTAGAAATGTGGAGCTGGTGGGCTTCAGTAAAAATGTGAAGCTGTGGGCTTCAGTAGAATGCTGAAGCTGTGGGCTTCAGTAGAAATGTGAAGCTGTGGGCTTCAGTAGAAATGTAAAGCTGTGGTAGAAATTAACTCCTGTTTGAATGTAATTCTCTGATCTTTGAATGTATTTCAAAGATCAAATAGTAATGTAATTATAAAATACGTGAGTAATTAATAAACAAATAACTATCATTCAAGTAAATAATAAATAATAAGCAAAAAAATAATAATAAACAATGTTGCAAATTAATAATTAACAACAATCATAATATATATCACAATAATTGCATAACATATAATTATAAACATCAATTATGACAAAAATCCTCAAGTAAATAGTAAATAATATAAAATTATATATAGGAAATAATATATAAAAAATGTAAAAATATGTTATTTTGCGCACTTCATTTCCCACTCTTCAATCTCCCACTCCCATCCTTCATTCTCCCACTCTCACACCCCTCCCTCCGCCCCACACACCCTCCCTCCGCCCCCACCACCACCCACCCACCGCCCCGTTCCTCACGCGAGCATGCGGGGACCGTGAACGGATCGTTGGGATGCTGTGGGGTCCCAGCATCTCCTGCATCGTTCATCGTCCCACTCTCACACCCTCCTCCACCCACCACCACCACCCAACCACCCACACACCCCTCACTCTTCTCTCTTCCCCCGACAGTCGCCTGCTCTGCCGGAACATACTGGGAGAACGCCACCGCCGATGCCGCCGCCAGCTGCCAGCCGTGTCCGCTAGGAACGTACCAGGAGGATGAGAAGCAGACGGACTGCACGTCGTGCGGCGTCGGCATGACGACGGCGACCGTCGGCTCGGAGAACGCGTCGCAGTGCTACATGGAGTGTCAGGCCGGGGAGTTCTACGACAGCACAGCAGACGCGTACGCCATCTAGCAGCGCATATATTTTTATTTTATTTCTATTTTATTTTTATCTGTTTTTTTTATAATAATAAATAGAGCGAACGCGTACGTTGTTTATTTTTGATTTACGGTTTTTTGGCGGATGTTTGACGTGACACACGGCATGCCGGAGAACGTTGGGGACACTTGACAACGGTTGCTGCATGACACTGGTTAATGGTTGACATCGACTGTTGGTTGACATTGGTTGACACTTGACAACAGTTGTCAGGTCATCAACGCCCAGCCAGCACCTTGTATACTAAGCTCCGCATATCTCCTCACGTCACACAGATGCACCAAGTGTCCCATGGGCCTGTACCAGGACGAACCGAACAAGATTTACTGCAAGAGTTGTCCGGCCGGCACGTTCACGTCACAGCTCGGCGCCACGTCGGCAGACGACTGCAGTAGGTGGCGCCACGCATGCTCGCTCGTGTACCAAGAGTTGTTGTAGTTGTTGTCATTGTTGGTATTGTATTGTTGTTGTTGCTGCGGCTGCCGCTACTGCTGTTGTTGTCGATATTGTTGTTGTTGTTGTTGTTGTTGTTGTTGTTGTTATCGTTGATATTGTTGTTGTTATCGTAAGATATTGTCGTTGTTGTTGTTATCTTAAGACATTGTCGTTGTTATTGTTATCGTTCATGATGTTAACCTCGTCGTTGTTGTCGTTGTTGTTGTTGTTGTTGTTGTTGTTGTTGTTGTTGTTGTTGTTGTTGTTGTTGTTGTTGTTATCGTTGATATTGTTGTTGTTATCGTAAGATATTGTCATTGTTGTTGTTATCTTAAGACATTGTCGTTGTTATTGTCATCATTGATGATGTTAACGTCGTCGTTGTTGTCGTTGTTGTCGTTGTTGTTGTTGTTGTTGTTGTCGTTGTTGTTGTTGTTGTTGTTGTCGTTGTTGTTGTTGTTGTTGTTATCGTTGATATTGTTGTTGTTATCGTAAGATATTGTCGTTGTTGTTGTTATCGTAAGACATTGTCGTTGTTATTGTCATCATTGATGATGTTAACGTCGTCATTGTTGTTGTTGTCGTTGTTGTTGTTGTTGTTGTTGTTGTTGTTGTTGTTGTTGTTATTATCGTTGATGATGTTAACATTGTTGTTATTGTGACCACAGAGAGCTGTGCCCCGGGTGAGACTGTCACCATCAGCTACACGTGCGAGCAGTGCGAGGTGGGCAAGTACTCCACCG